TCATAACAGAAAAGATACTCCAATTTTATTTTAATCTCTAATATTTTGTACATTACAGTAAAATTAGTTTTCAAAAGCTATTTTTGCTTGTTTCTTTTAAATACAAAGCTACACAGAGGAATAATTTCCTTTATCAAACACTGGATTCTAGCATAACTAAACCACCAGGTGGATGTAATTTCTGCCTTCATTACACAGCTGTGGCAGACTCTGCCAGGGCAACATCACAATATAAAGTTAGCTGAGTATTCTTGAAACACTATTATTGCCATATTCCAATCTTATCTTGTTTAAATATCCAAAAGATAGGTCAAAAAGAACAATAAAACTGAAACTTACTTTAAAACATGATGTTGTCCAAGTGATTTAAATAGCAAGACCACTCGCTCTAGACGATAAACACTTGGAACTGATAGAGCTTGCTTTAAAGAAGACAACCTTGTTCTTTCATAACTAGACCAGGAAATAAAGAACAATGCTGTACACATTATAGAGCAAGTAGAGACATGAAAATAATATTAAGTATGTTGCTCACATAACAGACAAAAATGAGCAGATAAATAGGGACCCTCAATGAACATGCTCACCGTTATATGGGGGGATATTCTGCCTTTTAGCAAGCTGTCTTATATCATGTGTAGAGAATGCCTGATTTTTATGAAACTCTCTTATGATCAAATGTGGAGAGGGTTAGCATTTTAAAAAGCTCTCTTTTATTTTGTGATCAAGGGCTTATCTTTTAGGAAAGCCTCTGTTATTTAAGATGTTAATCACAGAAAGTTAATGTGATAAACCCTCCTGGAACAAAATGTGAGGGAAAAAAGGATTTATGCAATCAACATTTTTTGGTCAAATGGTCTTCTTAATATTTTCAGAAAGTATCAACTTTTAGTATCTAGTAAATCAAAACACTGTATTCACAGTAAACCCCTTCAAACAGTTTTGTCATAGAATATTAATACGATACTACTATAAGCTCCTTGAATCAGTTTTTAATTGTCATAAAATATTAATGATACTACAATAAGCTCCTTAAAACAGTTTTTAATTGTAACTCAACATTAACATAATTCAAAATACGTACAGACAGTCCCACAATTGACACAGTAAAGTACAGACAGTCCCACGATTGACACAGTAAACTACACATAGTCTCACAATTGCCACAGTAAGGTATAGACAGTCTCACAATTATCACAGTAAAATACAGACAGTCTCACAATTGCAATACACAGTAGAGCACAGGCAGTCCCACAATTGACATACTAAAGTACAGACAGTCCCACAATTGACAGAGTACAGACAGTCCCAAGATTGACACAATAAAGTACAGACAGACCCAGAACTGGCACATTATAGTACTGACAGTCCCAAGACTGAAACAGTAAAGTACTGACATTTCCAAGACTGAAACAGTAAAGTACAGACAGTCCCACAATTGAAACAGCAACCAACAGACAGTCCCAAGATTGACAAAATAAAGTATAGACAGTTCCAAGATTGACACAGTAAAGTACAGACAGTCACGAGATTAACACAGTAAAGTACAGACAGTCCCAAGATTGACACAGTAAAGCACAGACAGTCCCAGAACTGAAATATTATAGTACAGACACTCCCAGGACTGATACAGTAAAGTACAGACAACCCCATGATTGACACAGTAAAGTACAGACAGTCCCAGAACTGGCATATTATAGTACAGACAATCCCATGACTGATACAATAAAGTACAGACAGTCCCTAGTTAAGTGACAAGTTGTACTACATGTAATTCCAAGACTGTGTCACTAGTTAAGTAACAAGTTGTACTAAATGTAATTCCAAGACTGTATCACTAGTTAAGTAACAAGTTGTACTACCTTGTTACTTAACTAGTGATACAGTCTTGGAATTACATACTTAACTAGTGATACAGTCTTGGAATTACATGTAGTACAAGACAAATTGTACTACATGTAATTCCAAGAATTACTTCTATGTAACTAAATTAAAGATAAATAATGCTCTTGGTTTGGATCACCCCTATGTAGCCAAATTAAAGATAAATAATACTCTTGGTTTGGATCACCCCTATGTAGCCAAATTAAAGATAAATAATACTCTTGGTTTGGATCACCCCTATGTAGCCATATTAAAGCTAAATAATACTCTTGGTTTGGATCACCCCTATGTAGCTAAATTAAAGATAAATAATGCTCTTGATTTGGATCACCCCATGCAGCTAAAATAAAGATAAACAAGTAATAAAATAAAAAATTTGCAGGTAGAGATTTTTGTATGGTTTTGTGTATTCATCCCTACATTGTTTCTGTACTTTTTGGTATTACCATCCCTAGATCATAATTAATTTTTGCAAATTATTTTTTTACTTGTTTTCCCTCTTATTCTTGAACAATTTCATTGAAGGAAGTAGATTTTTATAATTCAGTTGTAATATTTATATTGTTAATATCATATAATTTTTGTCAGTTTCTCTAATTTTGGATTACATTGGGGGACAGTAAAACTGGAATGTTTCCTCCAGGATGGTACAAATACCTGAG